GACATGGTACATAAAAAAAGGAGTTTGTGTAAATGGATGATGGAACATGGTTTAAGAGTGATAACAAAAAACAAAATTTATTAAGAGCTAAGAAGGACAGGAAATTGTGGAGAGCCATGATCGCTAATGTTCTGAAGGGACATGGCACATAAAAAAGGAGTTTGTGTAAATGGATGATGGAACATGGTTTAAGAGTGATAACAAAAAAACAAAATTTATTAAGAGCTAAGAAGGACAGGAAATTGTGGAGAGCCATGATCGCTAATATTCTGAAGGAACATGGCACATAAAAAAGGAGTTTGTGTAAATGGATGATGGAACATGGTTTAAGAGTGATAACAAAAAAACAAAATTTATTAAGAGCTAAGAAGGACAGGAAATTGTGGAGAGCCATGATCGCTAATGTTCTGAAGGGACATGGCACATAAAAAAGGAGTTTGTGTAAATGGATGATGGAACATGGTTTAAGAGTGATAACAAAAAAACAAAATTTATTAAGAGCTAAGAAGGACAGGAAATTGTGGAGAGCCATGATCGCTAATGTTCTGAAGGGACATGGCATAAAAAAGGAGTTTATGTGTAAATGGATGATGGAACATGTTTTAAGAGTGATAACAAAAAACAAAATTTATTAAGAGCTAAGAAGGACAGGAAATTGTGGAGAGCCATGATCGCTAATGTTCTGAAGGGACATGGCACAAAAAAAAGGAGTTTGTGTAAATGGATGATGGAACATGGTTTAAGAGTGATAACAAAAAACAAAATTTATTAAGAGCTAAGAAGGACAGGAAATTGTGGAGAGCCATGATCGCTAATGTTCTGAAGGGACATGGCACATAAAAAAGGAGTTTGTGTAAATGGATGATGGAACATGGTTTAAGAGTGATAACAAAAAAACAAAATTTATTAAGAGCTAAGGAGGACAGGAAATTGTGGAGAGTCATGTCGCTAATGTTCTGAAGGGACATGGTACATAAAAAAGGAGTTTGTGTAAATGGATTATGGAACATGGTTTAAGAGTGATAACAAAAAAACAAAATTTATTAAGAGCTCAGAAGGACAGGAAATTGTGGAGAGCCATGTCGCTAATGTTCTGAATAGACATGGTACATAAAAAAGGAGTTTGTGTAAATGGATGATGGAACATGGTTTAAGAGAGATAACAAAAAAAACAAAATTTATTAAGAGCTAAAAAACAAAATTTATGTTTAAGGGACATTTACATAAAAAAAAGGAGTAAATGGGAACATGGTTTAAGAGTGATAAATAAAACAAAATTTATTAAGAGCTAAGAAGGACAGGGAATTGGAGAGCCATGTCGCTAATGTTCTGAAGGGACATGGTACATAAAAAAGGAGTTTGTGTAAATGGATGATGGAACATGGTTTAAGAGTGATAACAAAAAAACAAAATTTATTAAGAGCTAAGAAGGACAGGAAATTGTGGAGAGCCATGTCGCTAATGTTCTGAATGGACATGGTACATAAAAAAGAAGTTTTGTAAATGGATGATGGAACATGGTTTAAGAGTGATAACAAAAAAACAAAATTTATTAAGAGCTAAGAAGGACAGGAAATTGTGGAGAGCCATGATCGCTAATGTTCTGAAGGGACATGGCACATAAAAAAAAGGAGTTTGTGTAAATGGATGATGGAACATGGTTTAAGAGTGATAACAAAAAACAAAATTTATTAAGAGCTAAGAAGGACAGGAAATTGTGGAGAGCCATGATCGCTAATGTTCTGAAGGGACATGGCACATAAAAAAAGGAGTTTGTGTAAATGGATGATGGAACATGGTTTAAGAGTGATAACAAAAAACAAAATTTATTAAGAGCTAAGAAGGACAGGAAATTGTGGAGAGCCATGATCGCTAATGTTCTGAAGGGACATGACATATAAAAAAGGAGTTTGTGTAAATGGATGATGGAACATGGTTTAAGAGTGATAACAAAAAAACAAAATTTATTAAGAGCTAAGAAGGACAGGAAATTGTGGAGAGCCATGATCGCTAATGTTCTGAAGGACATGGCACATAAAAAAGGAGTTTGTGTAAATGGATGATGGAACATGGTTTAAGAGTGATAACAAAAAAAACAAAATTTATTAAGAGCTAAGAAGGACAGGAAATTGTGGAGAGCCATGATCGCTAATGTTCTGAAGGGACATGGCACATAAAAAGGAGTTTGTGTAAATGGATGATGGAACATGGTTTAAGAGTGATAACAAAAAAAACAAAATTTATTAAGAGCTAAGAAGGACAGGAAATTGTGGAGAGCCATGTCGCTAATGTTCTGAAGGGACATGGTACATAAAAAAGGAGTTTGTGTAAATGGATGATGGAACATGGTTTAAGAGTGATAACAAAAAACAAAATTTATTAAGAGCTAAGAAGGACAGGAAATTGTGGAGAGCCATGTCGCTAATGTTCTGAATGGACATGGCACATAAAAAAGGAGTTTGTGTAAATGGATGATGGAACATGGTTTAAGAGTGATAACAAAAAAACAAAATTTATTAAGAGCTAAGAAGGACAGGAAATTGTGGAGAGTCATGTCGCTAATGTTCTGAAGGGACATGGTACATAAAAAAGGAGTTTGTGTAAATGGATGATGGAACATGGTTTAAGAGTGATAACAAAAAAACAAAATTTATTAAGAGCTAAGAAGGACAGGAAATTGTGGAGAGCCATGTCGCTAATGTTCTGAAGGGACATGGTACATAAAAAAGGAGTTTGTGTAAATGGATGATGGAACATGGTTTAAGAGTGATAACAAAAAAACAAAATTTATTAAGAGCTAAGAAGGACAGGAAATTGTGGAGAGCCATGATCGCCAATGCCCTGAAGTGACAAGGCACATAAAGAAGATGGTGTTTTAACAAGTATCATGCATAGAATCCGTAAACCGCTTGAGCGATTGCCGTAGACATCTCGAAGGCCTTTGACAAGGTCTGGTACAGGGTATTGCTACACAAACAGATCAGCCATGGAATCATTAAAATATTCTCCTCAGTTATCAAGTCTTTCTGGTCAGATCGTCGTTAATAACACATGAAATTAATTTCGGTGCTCGACATCTAATTTTGTTATGTTTTAGATTAACGATCTGTGTAAGGACATTCTGAGACACTTAGTAGATGTATATGCAGATGACACCACAGTGTATGAGTGCACCTGCAAATATCTGGATGATCAGTGATTGACGGCCGATCTCTGCTCTGATCTAACTCTTACAACTCGAGAAGGGACAAACTTCATCCTTTAATACCTACAAAACAATGCCAGTAACATTTCGTCACCGCTGAGCAAACCCTGAACTTTCACCAGGGCCCTCATCCAAACGTGGAACTTACGTTTTGAGTTGTCTCAAAGAGGCTGCTTTCCCTGTTCTGATATGGGTGTTTTTGTCAGACTTTTTTTTTCCAATCTTGCATTCCAATTCCAGCAAGAACGATCAGATGAGTCGGCATACGACGTCTAGGGGGTCATTACATATCAACCCTGTAACTAGCTTCGACAAAGCATAGTGAGGGCAAAGTCTATTGGTGAGGCATACAAAAACCGAGATTCACTTTCTTACTTTTTTTTCTTACCTATAACGATGTCTGTTCGGTAAACTGATATATTGACTAATTACGAATGCCGTTTGTGATGTCTTAATATCGTGATATTTTTTTTACAGAATATCGGGCGCGAAATTAGAGATTCTGCCCCTGATTGCTCAAATTGACAAGTTTGTTTTTTTTTTTTTTCAATTTCACTGAAACAGACGTTAAACACTTCTATCTTCTCTTCTTTCTTTTTTACTTTCATTCATATTGATACTGAAACCAAGTAGCGTTTCTGATATGTGTTTTGTTTTCCACGCAAATAAAACGTTATAGTCCATTATTTATGAGGTTTTGTCAGGAGACCTTAAATAATTCTATCGTTCATTCTTTTTCGTTCTTTCATTCTTTCTTTCTTTCTTTTTTCTCACTCAAACCAAGTAATGTATTTTCGCCTTTTTCTACCCGATCAAAGCAGAATAATCAATTATTTATTAGGAATTGGCAGGGCGTAATGCTCGTACGAACTACCAAAATGAGGGGAATGTACAATTATAATAGGAAACTATTCATAATAATAATAATGATACGAATAAACCTCGAAATAACAAATTAAACCACAAATCTTTTCCCCCCGTCTTTTTGAACCCATTACTTGTGGTCATCGTACCTATTAGATTTGGCCATAACTCATTTTCGTTTTAGTTTATCAAATTTATTCTTCAAAAACAGACTACAGTTACATATTATTCGGTTATATATTCATCATTTGGAAAGATTTTTTTGCCGCTTGTCAGGCAGGCGAAAAAGGTAAGCATCGGTTGGATTTATTGATTAATTGATTTGTTTTTACGGTTTATCAACCCTTTGCAAATTATTTAATGTCAGAAAATATTTTTAGATTGCAAGGATTTTGTTTTGAGATACTAATGATTTAGTGATATATTAACCCATAGCTGAGAGGAGAAGAGGTGGATTGACACCTAATCAGAATTCAGTGAACAAACAAGAAATTATAACGTGTATATAAAGTGGAGGAACTATTCTATATTACAATCAATATATAAACTGATCCCTCATTTGTGGTCATGGTAGTTTCTATGCATTTATATCCCAGAAAATGTAAATAAATCAAAAAGACATTCCTGTGTAGCTTATCAGTATTTCATTGATTCAATGATTCGTTTTCTAAGGCTTATCAACCCTTTGCAGGTTATTTAAAGCCAGGAAAATTTAGATTGTAAGATTTGATTTTTTTTTTTAGATAATAATGATTTAGTGATATAAATTTTACTAATAAACCCATAGCTGGCTGGAGAAAAGGTTGATTCTGTATGAATCAACCTTTCCTTCATCCAAGGGTCTTTGTGCGTAAGTGTATATGACGAACCCAAGGGGAATTGGAACTCGATTCTGAGCCATTATCCATTACACCAACCTGACGTCGAAGTTAACAGCACATGGCATTCCTAAGCAGTCACCCATTTTGGTATTGACTAAGCTCGTCGTTGTTTAACTTCGGTGATCGTACGGGAGCCGGTGTTTTAGTCTGAATAGATTGAACTTGAATATTTACTTGAGATAACTTAGTAAACTAATAGAACTACTTACGACCCTTTAACCGCTCACGACACTTTAACTAATTCGGGCTAACACAAAATGGCCGCGATCAAAAATTATCTAAAAGAGAAAAAAAATCCTTAAAAAATTCCACCAGATGAACTTGTTTATGTAAATTCCTCTTCCTCGGATTGTTGTTGTTGTTGTTTCATAGATAGAATAATTTTGGATAAAGGGCTTCCCGAAAAAACAGAGATAGGACAAACCAACAGGCTGTGAGGTTTGCATGCATGGAGACATATTCTTCGTAGGAAGAATACCTTTCAAAAGCAGTCATCTATCTAAATACTGTCCAGCGTCGACGTTGCTTAACATCGATGATTGTACGGAGAACCGTTGTTTCAACGTGATATGGCCGTAAGCCTAACTGTTTGGTGCAAAGGTCAGGTGAATATAGCGAACGTGGTAGAACAGACCAATTGAGTTCAATGTTTTTTTTTTCTTTGTTATTCTTGTTCTATGCGTCCTTCTGTAGGAGAAGAACAACATTTTCACTTAATCCGCTGTGTACCCTGCCATTGTCATGCAAAAACTAAAGTATGTTAGTATGCTCCATATTTATTCTCGACTGTCACGTATTGAAATGTATTAGTCGTTAGGATAATATATTCGTCATTACAAATGGTTCCTAAAAATGAGAAATTACTTATTACGCAACCTAATAGTCCACCTAACATTCGATTTTTGACAGACGTTGAAGATTTAGTGGTTGTACGTATAAATATTAGATGCTGGCAAATAAATACATATATGGGTTATATCGCACCAGGAAACGTTTTATTTTCAGAGTTGAACGCTTATTCAGCGTTCGATTACAATAACACCGACATATGTAATTAATGTAAATATTGCTACTCCCGCAATCAAGGATGCGATATAATTCAATTCGCCATCATTTAAAAGTCTACCGCCCCAGAGCACTATTGTATAGCAAAAAAAAAAAAATATTCTGTTCCATAATAGTTGTTACATTTGCATACACATTTTATACGCTAAATATAACAGCTATTATGGGACAGAGTAGAAATATAAGATAAGTTTAATATATTCAAATCAATTTGTATGAGAAATGTCAGGATGAAATTGAATCAGCTTATCACCAGCATCAAACCTTCCGATTTCAGATTCGAATGACTTATTATTACTCCTGCAACATTTTCATACACATTTCATCCATTACACAGTGGTCAGAGAAATTAAATGACAGAGTCGACTGCTGTGCTCCAACATCTAACTTATCGTTCGCTAGAAGGTCGACAACTTTTGTAGATGAGTGACGCTACTTACATGATAATCTTCCCACACTTCTCTCAGCAATTAGTAAATGACTAATGACATTTATAAACTGAACTTTGTTACAAGATGATTGCGAAATTATGTTGACAGGATTTTCCCAGTGGAAATTATTCAAAGAGGCGATGAGGAGGAAGAAAACACTATCTTTATTAAAAACATAGACCGAATGGTCAGAAAAGCAAACTGGTAACAGAGAGGTCGTTGTTTTCACTTTAAATATAAAATCGTAAAGATTTTTGATTTGCACTACAGTAAAAAAAAAAAAAAAAAAATTATGAGAAAAGGAAATTCCCAAAGCTCAATTTTTAGCATTATTTCAAACGTTATTCTTTTTAGTGGACACCCGTATTATAATAGACGCCCTATTTATTTTAAGCAGTATTTATTTTGTCTACCGACCTGTGTATTCAAGAAAACTTAACTAAGAGAATGTGAAACCTCCCTCCACCTCGGATTCAGTTTTCTGTAAACCTTAGTTCATGTCTTTCCCAAGAGGATTTTTATGAAGCGAACACTAACGACCAGAGCGGGATTTGAACTCGGCTAGCCGATTGCATTTTTCCCACTTCCACGAACGATGAATAAAAATTAACATAGAAAAGTTTTAGACATAGTTTTGAAGATTTACAGACAGACAAGAAAAAATGAACGTAGAGGTAAAAACAAAAAATTCTTTATTGAGGTCGATTTTATTTTCATTGGGTTTTTTTTTTTTTGTCAGATGAAAACAAAATGAAACCGTTTCCACTATTTTCTGTGATTAAAAACGAGATCTTAATTTCTTTCTTTTGTTTATTCCGACCTCGTGATAAGCATTTCTTTTTGTTAAGCCTCTTGGAGTTGAGGAGAGCTGGTGGGATTGGAGGTAAAATATGGCTTACTCGAACAAAAAAGATTAGACAAAAGATTTAATCTTTCGGAACTTTAAAGTATTTTAGTTCGTGTACCAGAATGACCTCAGATATATCAATTATTCTTGGACAATATAGCTTCCCTGGGGTTGATTACGTTTAGTTCGCCTATAGAAAAGGCATGAATCCATTGCTCTTTGTATTTTGTCTGATCGCTAAATAGCTCTAAAAATATATTGTCATTAGTATCTCGCGATTAAACTCTTTTATTAATCAGATCAAACAAGGCAATAAAGCCACTAAGACGCAAGGGGTTACTGAGTATTAGAAAATATGAGAAAAATAATAACAAATACACAGGTAATAAGAAGGCAGAAGATAACGAATGCATTAAATTTTTTGAAAATCAAAGTTGACTGGGAAGCAAGAAATCAGAAGAGATTTCCACAAATGAGAAGTACGATAGAAAAAAACTGTTAACTTCGAACTTACGATTACATCTCGCCATTTTAGCTGTAAAACGATGAGACCTTACCGCCAATCTAGTACTGCGCTTAAATACATCAAGTCGAGTTACCATAAATGAAAGTTCATCAGAACAATTACCATGAGAGTATTTATAGAAGAGACACAGGAAATCTACTTCACCGTAATATGAAAGAGACGGAAGGCGAGATGCCATGCCAGGACCAATAATATTGCAGTTTCTTCTTTGGATTTTATCAAAAATCGCTAAATATATATCCGAAGCATCAGACCGTATGTGGCAGCGATATTCAAAGCATGGGCTTCTTTTATGTGCCATATACCTTTGGGACATTGGTGATCATGACGCTCCACAACTTCCTGTCCTTCGTAGCTTCTAGCAATGTTTGACTTTTATTAGTATCCCTCCTATATCTTTTTGTTCTAATCATTTGCACAAGTTCGTTAGGTAGGTTACTCGTTATTTTCTTGTGTCCCTCTTGACTTCAGTAGGCCTTGTGAGTGTCAAATTCTACATACCCTCTTTCCTCTTTTCATTTAAGGACAGCCGAAGAGATTCGTCACTTGGCTGAATTTCTAATATGGATTATGGATGTTTTATCGTGTTTCGATTTCGACTTTCATTCTCGTCAGACATTCTCCTATTGATGCTCGTTCAAATCTTGTCAGAAACGTATTCTTTATCTCGGCTTTATACTGTTTGTCTAAAGGTTGTAGAATGTCAAAACGACCTGGGTTTTTGCGACAGACGACTAATATGAAAACATTCAGACAACTTGAGACTATTACTTATTCCTCTTCTATGTGCTGTGTCTCTTCAGGATGTGGAAAATCACGGTTCTCCACAACATCCTGTTATTTGTACGGCGTAGAAATGTTTGTCTTATCACAATATCTCTTCATACCTGTTCTGTTAACCATTTACACATGCGCGTTATGCATTGCTTTCCTCAGTTCATCCAGCTTTAAATCTGCCCTGTGAGTGTCAAAATTTCCAAACCCTCTTTCCTAATTATGTGTTCTAGAGATTTAATTCCATCGTATTCTCAGCATCCTTCTACAGAACCGCATTTCTGTTGCCTTAAGTCTCTTCTCTATCTGTGATCAGATGGCCCAGGATTCACTGCACTGCCATATAGGCGTACCGATATTACATAATGCTTCAGTACTCTTCTCTTTGTTTCGAACGAAATGTTCCTGTTTCTTAATAGTTTGCTTAACTTTTGGAAGGCATATTTTTCTATGACAATGCACTTTCGGATTTCGGTGTCGTATTTTTGTTATCTGTTAAAAAAACTTCCGAGATAATTTAAATTGTTGCTCGTGTTTAATTTTTGTATCCCACTTTGTAATTCGCATGTGTTTCTTTTACTTACATCAATATATTCTGTCTTCTTACAATTGATAGTTAGTCTTTTCTTCTCACTTTCTTTTACTTCGTTCTGTAGGAGTTCTTGTAGTTTCTTTTCTGTGTCTGCTATTAATACTAATGCTAACAGGTCATAATTTAAGATAATTAAGAAGATAGAAATAGTAATGAAAAATTAATAACTGACAATGCTTCAGCTAAGATATTCACAAGAAGAAGAAATAGTCTTAATTTAATTAAGACTATTTCTTCTTCTTCTTCTTCTTCTTCTTCTATGGGTCATACCCATTCAGGACGTAGGTGTTCAAGGCTCTCCACAATTTCCTGTCCTTTGTAGCTCTTAATGAATTTTGTCTTTTTATTTTCTCCCTTAAATCTTCCTTCGTCAGTCATTTACACATGCTCACTATTCCCCTTCTTCCATATGTGTTGTGTTCCTTCAGGATGTTGACGATAATGACTCTCCGCAATTTCCTTTCCTTTGTAACCCTTAATAATTTTTTTCTTTTTGTTATCTCTCCTAAACCTTGTTCAGCCATCTATATACTCAAGCTCGCTAGGTAGGTTACGCGATGTTTTCGTATGTCCTTCTTGACTTCAGTCTGTCCTGTGAGTATCACATTCTCCAAGCCCTCTTTCCTCATTATGTGCCCTCGAAATTTCAACTGTCTCTTCCTAATGTTAGGTATACATTTTTTTCTATTTTCTCTACAACTTCCTCGTTACTCACATGTTCAGTCCATAGTATTCTCAGTATTCTTCTGTAGAACTACATTTCAATTGCTTCAAGCCTCTACTTCATTTATGAGGAGATTTGCCACCATTCGCTGTCATATAGGAGGACTGAAATTACATAACGGTTCTATGTACACTTTATTTCTAACAATTTTTTTCTGTTTCTTAATATTTTGCTTAGCTATTGGAAAA